TTTAATTTTTTTAATTTAAAAAATCACTGACAAAATATTTTTTTATTTTTAATCAAAATATATTTCATCAATAATGTTTTTTAAATGTATGTACTTTTATAGTATATTTGTTTCATTTTATATATGTAAGTACTTTTTTTGTTCAAAAAATGTTTAGAGACTTAAATTGTTGAAAATATGAAAGTTCATTGGTTTTCTTTCAGGTTTTTTCTTTTGTTTTATTATATTTATCAGTTTTATAGATCAAAAGAATGTATCTAACGAGTTTTAAAAAGTATAAAGATTTATTTAACAGGTTTTGGAATGTCCAATGATTTATTTGTTTTAAAAAATTAATTATTCCAAACAGTAAATCAATTAAAAAAATTTAGACACTTTTGACTTTTTTTACAAAAGAAAAAGTCTGCAGAATTTTAGGGGCTTCTGGCGTTCCAAACAGTTCATGAACTCAAATTCTTGCATCATACTCATAGTATATACCCCATATTAGTCCCATTAAACAACTCATCTGATTGATACATAATTCGCACCTGCTTTATGCTTATATTATTTAAAATTCAACATCTCCAAAGATGCTAAACCTAACTAATTTCTTTTTATTTGCTACTCTAGATTTTCTGAATCTTATATTCTTAAAAAAAATGTGATCAATTTCAACCTAAGATTTTGTTGATGAGAGCTAGCTGAGGGGTCGATGAAAGTGATACCACACCCGCTCTGTATCACTTGATTCTTATATTATTGTTTTTATGGCTAAATCCAATATACGATTAACCTAATTTATCAGATGTTTTTGATACAAATATATAGGGTAGTAAAAGAATCAAACGGGCATGATTGGAGGCTTATTTATGTTCGTTCGTTTAAATTCACCAAACAAACACGAACTAACACGAATGGAATGTTTTATGTTCATATTCGTTTGTTAAGAAAATGTGTTCATTTATGTTCGTTCGTTAACATGTTAATCGAATGAACATAAACGAAAACGAATACAAATGATCATATACAACCACCATTATTCGTCATTTTGTTCACTAACAAAATGAAAAACAAGATAAATTTAGTAGGATAAAAAAGGAATTCTAAAAATTTAATTTCATTAATGATTTTACATATTAATATTATAATATTAATGATTTATATATATAAAGAAACAAAAACGAATGTAAACGAATATAAAGAAACGGACATTAACAAACATAAATTAAATAAACAAACGTTCACATACGTAAATGAACGACCGGATCATTGTTCATGTTCGTTCATTTAACTAAACAAACAAAAGAATGTGTTTTGTTTGTTCATGTATTAAATAAACGAACTTCCCATTGAATGGTTCGTTGAACGTTCGGTTCATTCATAGTTCTACAAATATATCATGACGAAAAATAAATTCAATAAAAAATGGTTAATGTATATGGTTTGCGCAACATTATGAGATTCATGATCATTCATGATGCCAAGGAACTTCCATTGCAGATGAAGGTGCCAACATGCTCATTCACATGTTTAAATCTCTTACACCTTCCACAGTTTGATCTAGACATATTTTGTGGATGGTTGCTCTGGGATTAGTCAGTTCGCATAGCGGGTTGGATATCCAGGTTAATAAAAAAAAGAAATGGATTAATTAAATACTCCCTTAAGAAGTCTGTATGCTAATTCAAGAAAGATATTTTAGTTATGCTATTTGAACTACCGTTTTAAAAATTATCGATGTCAATATTGTATGAAACCAATGAATTTTTATATTAGGTCGCAGGCCTTATCGAAATTATGCAACCTAGATTTGTAGTTAACCGGAAGAAGCAGTACGAGAAGTGAAGAACCGATGTGGGTATGATATGATGTTGATGTTAGAGTTGGGTTGGGTTGGGTTGGGTTAAGTGTAAGAAAAGAGCTTCACCTTTAGATCAATCATAATTGAATGTTAACACTAATGAGGTGCATCATTCCCTTCTAAAGCACAATTCCCAGATTTGAAAAATAAAGGTCTATCATCAATTGGTCTGATAGATGTAGTTTGTCACATGTCCTCTTTGTAGGTTCACCTTATGTTACTTGGGTGACAATATATATACCAATGGCATTACGGGGCTGTTTAGTATTTATTAGCACTAACTGGGTAAGCACTTATACGGTAAAAATCATCACCCTTATCAATCTTATCGGGCAAAATTGTTGGTAAATACTATCATCTATGATCTGGTCAATAAGCATTTACTAGCTAAGATTATTGGTCAACAAAATGATATTGTAAGATTGTTGATAAACATTATCATCTTTTACCGAGTAAGCGTCTCCTACCCGATGAATGCTTCGTAATTACCCGGTAAAAGGTAATAAGTATTAAGTAAATAGCTCATACGTCTATCTCTTCCTATCAATATACTTGTCTAAAACTATAACACACATACTTTGTTAGTGATTTTAGTGTCATCAACCATTTGATGTAATTGTAATTTACTTGAGATCGATTAAGATAACGAGGCAAACATAAACGAATTAGGGGGTGCGGAGTGTACACTCACAAATATTGCCCTTGTCACCTAAGATTGCCATAATTAAGACGGGGTCAAGGGGGTCGCGGCCCCTTGCAAGGTTTGAGGGGCAGTGCCCCTTAGCGGTAGATTTATGGGTTCAAACTTGGAAAAATTGACCAAGTCATATGTCTTAAACAGTGGTTACAAAAATAATCTTTAGTTCAGAATTGTAGTTTGGTATCATACTTAATTTCAAACGAAGTCATACTTCGCTCTTCAATTTTATCCATTAACGGTTATGACCGTTTATCTGTTAGTAAATGTCAATCTCTCATATAAATATACAAAATCAATGCCTTATTTCATGTATAAAAATTCTAGATCTATCATGATACCGATTTCATGTTAACCAGGTAATTAAAACATTTGAAGGGAGAAATACAGTATTTAAAAAGTGGTTCCCAATACACGATTTTGAAATTTATCCACGTTTTACAACCACCCAGATCCCAACACTATATTTGAAACATCGTTTAATTTGTATGCACCAAATTAACCAGATATAATTGAAGACCATATTGGAGTTCAAGACACGTAAATATTAATACGATCTTCATACAATAAATGAAACAAAGAGTTCAAATTTCACCCAACTTAATCTCGCAACAACAATACAAAAACTGAACTTCATGTAATTAAACAACAGGAATTGAAGAGAAAATAACGAAACCCACATTATTACATAAATACATTACCCCAAGATTTTTTAACCAACCGCGACATTATTCCTCCGATCCATGGAGTTACGACAGCTATTTATTTAGTGGCGGAGTGGTCATCCATATCTTTGGTAATTCCGCAAATATAGTCCAACAAAGAAGTTGGATCGGGTACGTTAACATTCGGCTTCTCAAACTCAAAGGTCCAAGTGCCCAATTGTTTTCCATCCTGCTTTGGTTCAACTTGAAACGTTATTTTGAAGGTCTTGTATATCTCCTCCACTAGCTCTCCTTCAATTACCTTGAACACGATTTTCTGGTTGGCCTCATCGATTTCTTCAATCAACTCTTTTGTACTATGCTGTTTTCCATCTTTTTTGATATATAACATGCACAGAAATAATCATGCAGCTGGTTACTTATGGTAATCGAGTTCAAATCATACATGACTAACTAATTGATGTATCAGAAATGCATATATAAATTCATGAAATGGATCGATGCAAAACGAAATGGTGTTTGCCATGTACGTACATACCATGGGTATAGTGCCACAAAATGGTGGATCCAACGGCACCTCTTTGACCACTTACCAAATCACAGCCATGGACCTTATGGGGACATATGGAAGCTATGTCGTGTGGGTTGTGCCTTAAGAGATCATGCAACACTCTCCCACCTGAATTCATCTCTACATGAGCTATCAGCTTTCCTGTAAGAGCCATTGCCCTAACCTATATATTCCCAAAAAAAACCACTTGTTTCTTTAACAAATTTGTGTGACAACTATACAAATACCATCAGCATCGTGTAACCTTATGGCATACAAAAATCCAGTTGTTACTCACAGCCTACACTATGGATCAAGTAAATTGTAAATGATAAAAGATAAACGAAGATCAAACATAATTCATTACGTCAAACGTGTATCACGCACGAAGTGCTTACTTTTCGGTCTCTACACACTGGCCTTCCGCGTTACGTTGATGTATGATCTTTGAGTACTTTTGATGCTTAAAAGGGAACTCAGCTCTTCTGGTTGATGCTTAAATTCACACATGCATATATGCTTATATTATTTAAAATGTCTTTTTCCAATGATGTCAAACTCACAGTGCTAAAAGAAGCTCATCAATAATAACGATAAGATTTGGTGAGAGCAGAGGGGTCTACAAAAGTGACTGGATACCTAATCCATGATATATCAAACATCTTCTACTTTATTGCGTATTACATGATTCTTATATTATTTATTTTATGACTAATTCTTGTTCATGGTCTAATTAATTTGCGATTAAAATATTTGGTATATTTCCCACCGTCGGATGGTTTTTCAATTCAAAAATGACAATGGAAAATAATATGAATTCTTAATGTATTTGGTTTGCACATCATCATGACAACAAGGAACTTCCATTGCAGAGTATCAAGGATAGGACACTTAAAATTTCCAAGCGTCTTAATAACATATTTCATACAACTTAAGTTTATAGGACCATGAATCAAACTATAAAACGTCCAATCTAAAAGTGTGACAATAAATTTATATGATGTTTGTAAGCGTTTTAACTAGTTCTAATGACACTTTTAAAATAAAGTGTTGTATTAGTTATTTTATACGACGTTATTTGAAAAAGTGTCATATAAACACAACTGTTCTATAAAAAGATGGTCTTGTAGGTCATTTCTCAAAAATATTCTATAAAATAGTTAACTGGACATTTTATCTTTAAACCGTTCTAAAAATAACTTACTAAAATGTCTAGAAACGTCATATAAACATATTGTAACACCTTTAGATAAGACAAATTATAATGTGGTCCTATAAGACATTTTTTTCAAATAATATCCTATAAAATAGTACTACAATGATTTGTATTAAATTTTTTCTAAAAACTTGTTAAGACGTTCAAAAGCGTCCTATAAATTTGTTACAACGCCTTTAAATAGAACTATTTATTTTTTGGTCCTATACGAATTGAGTTTGCACAATTTATACAAATAGGAGTAATTTGCATTTAAACGCTCCTATATATATATGTATGTGTGTGTATATATATATATATATATAGAGAGAGAGAGAGAGAGAGTTTGTTTCAAATGCAACTCATCACATTTGCACAATCAATGCAACCCAATAAATTGAAATATTTATGAAAATGATGAGAGTTCATTTATTATGATTTAAATATTTATGGAAGATGAATAAGATTCATTAATTATGATCAATATTTTATATTAGAAAATAATCAAAACTTCTATGAAATTACATATTCATCAAATTAAATGGACGGTTGAGATTGAGTTGTATTGGTTATACAAATGTAAGGGATTATATAATAACCCGTATGTGTGCCAACAAGATCATAAATTGTAGGATATGATTTGGTGAGGGTGGAGGGGTCGATGAAAGAAATGTTGCACTCGTGATTCTTGCATTATTGATTTCTATGGCACTACTTGATTGATATATAATGAAATAAAATTTATGTATTTCTTTTTGCGCATCATCAAGGATCTTCCATTTCAGACGGTTTCCTTTTATTATTTTTAAAATAAATGTAATACTTATATATAATAAATATTCATATACATTATTTATTTTTGTCAGTTCTGAATCTTTGCTAGATTCTACTGATAATTAGCCAAATAAACATTTGGTATGTTTAAATTATATGTTAAAACATTCATTCTTCTCTGTTCAAATATAATCTAATGTGATTTCACATGTACTTTATTATCCTGCTGACACAAATGTATTTGAACACTCAAACAAAACTTATGAGCTTCATTTCCATATATTAGGTATTTCATCGAACTGTGTTGTTCTTGTCTCATTTCCTTGAAGAGAAGGAGAGCGTTGAGCTGATGAAACAACAACTCGGAAACTAAATTTTGTATCAAAAAATCGTACAAACAATAAAACACAACATTTTGTATAATTATTATTTATTGACATCTTCTTTTGTTGGTGTTTGATTTTAAAAATGGAAAATCGTTAGAATATATTTTGTTACATTTTAAATTTTGTATAAAAAATTTAAGATAAATTATTGTTTGTATCAAAAAGTTACATTATTTTTTAGGGAAAAGTCCAAAAAAACCTAATGGACTTTACTGTTTGGAACGATTAAGTCATTGGACAATTTTTTGGAACAAATATATCCTTGAACATTCTAGAACCTGTTAAATAAGTCATTGGACTTTACAAAACCTGTTAAATAAGTCCTTGGACTTTTTAAAATTTGTTAAATACATTTTGTTAGTGGAAAAGTGTAACACCCTAAAAATTTATTATTCGTAAAAATTTATTATTCGTAAAATAAATAAATGTTAAGGGTTAAAATTTAAAGAGTAAACGACWTACGGGATTAAAGTGTCGATACTCGAAAAATATGATTTTATTGCAATAAATAAAATCAATTAAAAAAAAGAAATAAAACATTTTGAATTTAATTGATTTGGGAT